TGTATGTATGTATGTATGTATGTATGTATGTATGTATGTATGTAATGTATGTGTATGTATGTATGTATGTATGTAATGTATGTATGTATGTATGTATGTATGTATGTATGTATGTAATGTATGTATGTATGTATGTATGTATGTATGTATGTATGTATGTATGTATGTAATGTAATGTAATGTAATGTATGTAATGTAATGTAATGTAATGTAATGTAATGTATGTAATGTATGTATGTATGTATGTATGTAATGTATGTAATGTATGTATGTATGTATGTATGTATGTATGTATGTATGTATGTATGTATGTATGTATGTATGTATGTATGTATGTATGTATGTATGTATGTATGTATGTATGTATGTATGTATGTATGTATGTATGTATGTATGTATGTATGTATGTATGTATGTATGTATGTATGTATGTATGTATGTATGTATGTATGTATGTATGTATGTATGTATGTATGTATGTATGTATGTATGTATGTATGTATGTATGTATGTATGTATGTATGTATGTATGTATGTATGTATGTATGTATGTATGTATGTATGTATGTATGTATGTATGTATGTATGTATGTATGTATGTATGTATGTATGTATGTATGTATGTATGTATGTATGTATGTATGTATGTATGTATGTATGTATGTATGTATGTATGTATGTATGTATGTATGTATGTATGTATGTATGTATGTATGTATGTAATGTAATGTATGTATGTATGTATGTATGTATGTATGTATGTATGTATGTATGTATGTATGTATGTATGTATGTATGTATGTATGTATGTATGTATGTATGTATGTATGTATGTATGTATGTATGTATGTATGTATGTATGTATGTATGTATGTATGTATGTATGTATGTATGTATGTATGTATGTATGTATGTATGTATGTATGTATGTATGTATGTATGTATGTATGTATGTATGTATGTATGTATGTATGTATGTATGTATGTATGTATGTATGTATGTAATGTATGTATGTATGTATGTATGTATGTATGTATGTATGTATGTATGTATGTATGTATGTATGTATGTATGTATGTATGTATGTATGTATGTATGTATGTAATGTATGTATGTATGTATGTATGTATGTATGTATGTATGTATGTATGTATGTATGTATGTATGTATGTATGTATGTATGTAATGTATGTATGTATGTATGTATGTAATGTAATGTAATGTAATGTAATGTAATGTAATGTAATGTATGTATGTAATGTATGTATGTATGTATGTAATGTAATGTAATGTAATGTAATGTAATGTAATGTAATGTAATGTAATGTAATGTAATGTAATGTAATGTATGTATGTATGTATGTATGTATGTATGTATGTATGTATGTATGTATGTATGTATGTATGTAATGTATGTATGTATGTATGTATGTATGTAATGTATGTATGGATGTATGTATGTATGCAATGTAATTTAATGTAATGTAATGTATTGTAATGTAATGTAAAGTATGTATGTATGTATGTATGCATGTGTGTGTATGTAATGTATGTAATGTAATGTAACGTAATGTAGTGTAGTGTAGTGTAGTGTAGTGTAGTGCAATGCAATGTATATATATGTATGTATGCATGTGTGAATGTAATGTAATGTAACGCGATGTAATGTAATGTGATGAAATGTAATGAAATGCGATGCAGTGCAATGCAATGCGATGTAAAGTAATGTATTGTAAATTGACGTACTGTAATGTATGTATGCATCTATGTACGCGTGTGGTTTGTATGTACGTTTGTTTGTATGTAGATCTGTATGTATGTAATGTAATGCAGTGGAATACAGTAATGTAATGTAATGTAATGTATTGTAATGTATTGTAATGTATTGTAATGTCGGCATGCATGTATGCATGCATGTTTGTTATGTATGTATGCATGTTGTATCTGTGTGTACGTATGTATGCAAAGTATTCATGTATGTATGTATGTACTGTCTTGTATTGTATTGCGTTGTTTTGTCTTGTATTGTATTGTACTTGTATGTATGTATGTATGTGTGTATGTATGTATGTATGTATGTATGTATGCATGCATGCATGTAATGTCTGTTTTTAATGTATATATGTAATGTAACGTAGTGTACTGCAATGTAATGAAATGTAGTGTCGCGTAGTGTAGTGTAGTATATGTATGTATGTGTTTTTCTTGCTATGAGCGCGTATATGTATGTATGTATGTATGTATGTATATACGTACGTACGTACGTACGTACGTACGTATGTATGTATGTATGTATGTATGTATGTATGTATGTATGTATGTATGTAATGTATGTGATGTATGTATGTATGTGTGTATGTATGTATGCATGTGTGTATGTATGATATGTATGTATGTATGTATGAATGTATGAATGTATGAATGTATGCATGCATGTACGTATGTATGTATGTATGTATGTATGTAATGTGCGCACTGTACGTATGTATGCATGCATGCATTCATGCATGTGTACATGTATGTATGTATGTATGTATGTATGTATGTATGCATGTATGTATGTATGTAATGTATGTATGTTTGCAATGTAATGTAATGTAATGTAATGTGATGTGATGTGATGTGATGTGATGTGATGTAATGTACGTATGTATGTGTGTACGTATGTACGCACGTACGTACGTATGTATGTATGGTGTGGTATGGTATGGTATGGTATGGTATGGTGTGTATGCATGTATGTATGTATGTATGATATGTATGTATGTGTGTATGTATGTAATTATGTAATGTACGTATGTATGTATGTATGTAGTTATGTAATGTATGTCTGTATGTGTGTAATGTAATTTAATGAAATGTAATGAAATTTATGATACTGTAGTGTAATGTAATGTATGTATGTGTGTATTTAATTATGTAATGTATAGATGTACGTAGATATATACATATGTATGTATGTATGTATGTATGTATGTATGTATGTATGTATGTATGTATGTATGTATGTATGTATGTATGTATGTATGTATGTATGTATGTATGTACTGTATGTGTGTAATGTAATGTAATGTCATGTCATGTCATGTCATGTCATGTCATGTCATGTAGTGTGTGTATGTAGGTATGCGTCCATATATGTGGGTATGTGTGTGTATGTATGTATCCATGTATGTGTTTTGTGTGATGTAACATGTTGCAATAAAACGCAATGTACTGTAATGTGATGCAATGTAATGTGTTGTAACATGCTGTACTGTAACGTAACGTATGTATGGAATGTAATGCGGTGTAATGTAATGGAGTGGAACGGAACGCAATGGAATGTAGTGTATGCATGTGTGTGTATGCACGCATGCATGCATGCATGCATGCATGCAATTATGTATGTATGCATAAATGCGTGTATGCATGTATGCATGTATGTGTGTATCTGTGTTTGCATGTATGTGGTTATGTTTGTATGTACGTATGTACGTACACACGTATGCAAGCCGCCCAGACAGATTGCGCTAAGCTATGAATTGCCTCTCCAAACGAGGCCTCGCATTGCCTGCATTTTGCTCTCACATGAGCGCAACAAATACTGCAACGCAGGCGTTGCATGTCAAGATGCGCCGTTGCCGTGCGCGACTCATTCTTGCCCCCGGATATAGTCTCCTGCGGTTCCTTCGAGCGTTCCGTTTGCTAGCGGCGTGCTACCTGCACGCTTGTCCCCGGCCGGCTGATTTCGCGCGTTCTGGATCGCTTTTTGCGATTTTCCTTTTGGCCCTGCCTAGGCCTACCCACGGGGTCCCCGTAGCCCTACACTAGGCCTGTCGAACCCCATCACGTAGCCCTCTTCTGGGCTGAGCCCTGTCTGTGGGCCTGCTCTTGGCCTGCTGTAGGACCAACGTAGAACCTCGTCTAGCGTCTACCGAACGCCTACAGAAGGCATAGGCCTACCAACATCCTTGCCTAGGGCCTACCCAAGGCCTACACACCTCTCTGCCTACGCCCTCTCATGGGCCTATCTTGCCTGGACCCTCCTATAGGCCTACCAACCCCCTTGCCTGGACCCTACAACAGGCCTACGCGCAGCCTTCCCTTCGGGAGATCTATGCCTTCTGAATTGGGCAGCCCAGTTGATCATTCAACTTGAGTTTGAGTATCGACAAGCTAGCAACGTCTCATGAATACATTTGGCCCCAAACATGTTTGCCTTTTCATTGGGTTTGACTGGGGTTGGGGTGCTCGGCGGCCCAGGGACAGAGAACCAGAGAACCAGAAAGGGCATGCTTCACGGAGCAACTGGCTAGGAAGCGGATGCCTCGCAATGGGGATCATGGTTCTTGGTGGCTCCCAGCCATCCCCTTAGCCTTTTAGCCTTTTGGTGTTTAGTGGTCCCATTTGACCCACTAAAAGTTCGTCACTTTTAGCGAGGGATCTGATAACGGACAGCCCAGGCTTTGAATCGCGGCAAAACAGGCAGGCAGCACCCCCAACAGCAAGCCCCCAGAGCTTTCTGCTCCGGGAGCTGCTCCAGGAGCTTTTCCGGAGCTTTGCGGGACTTCTGTCTGAAACGGAAGGTTGCCGATCAGCTCACAAAACCCCATCCCGAGAGGGCCACCAAAGGTTTTTTTTGGGGGGGGGAGAAATGTACTATCAGGTGACCTATGGCTCCACCGATATGGTCTCACCGGTGCAGTTTGTGGACGAGTTAAGCCACCTGGGCCAAACCCAAGGGCGACCTGGTTGCAGGTGGGACTGGGGGACTGGGGAAAGCCCAAGTCATGCGGCTGGTGCATGTGACGAATCAGAAGCCATGAAGGCCAAATTGGAAGAAAGCTCTGCGCCTAGACATGTAGAGAGATTTCCGCCGCCGAGGCAAAGCGGGATGCCGGACTTGAGCTAGCAGCGCGTCCGATTGGAAGAAAGGATGGGGCGTGAGGTGAGTCGTAGCGGCCGTAGCGCAGGGGATGGGCCCCAAGTTCAAAGGGCATCAGTTGCTCCGAGTGAGGCTCCGCGCTTCGAACCCCTTGGCCTTCTCCATCTGGCGCTTTCTGCTCGCGGCGTGCGTGGCCTCAGTGACGCACTTGTCGCACTTGTCGCACTTGTGGCACCACAACCTGGGCCCACGGGCCCTAAGAGGAGGCCAGAATGATTTGTGAAAGCAGATTCAAACATTGTAAACTCACATACCCTTGTCGGTTCTGAGGCCATGTCTTGAGCTGCTGCTGGTGTTGCGGGAGGCTGGTTCTAGTGCCGGTGCACGTGGTGGGGAAGTTCTTGGTGGCTTTGTTGAGGCATGAAGACGATGCGTCAATACTGGTCACTTCCTTTTCAAGCTTGTCAGGGCCTGCTGCAGCTTGCCTGAAGGTTTCCGGTCTCGTTGCCGTGGCTCGAGGTGGCAGTCCAAACAGAACACATCAGGATGCGCCACATCAAGGTGCCCTCGACCAGAGGTCAGCACCCCACCCAGCGCCAACTGCTGGTCCTTGAAGCCCCACAAGGCTGTGGTTCAAAAATGGGTACACTAATGGAATGCTGGTAAATCGAAAAATGGACCAAACCCTGAGGTTGTTTGGTGGTTTATTTTTGACCCATACCCACAAAACCCGCCCCACTCGGAGCCGAAACTCCCGGCGCCGGGCTTGCCACTCGGCTGCATGCTGTCATGGCGCCGCGGCCGAGCTCGGCGGCGGTGCGGCAGAGGGGCATCTTCAGCGAGGTTTTGTTGATAGAGGCGGCGGGACCCGCGCCATCTGGCTGTGGGTCAAAACCAATGGCATCCCATTTTGGGGTAGGTGCACCACCCATTTTAGTCGATTTTAGTGGAGGTGGGGATTTTCACTGGGGGTACGATTTGGCTTTTGACCCATGGCCATCTCAGTCCCGTTCTCTGAAACGACGGTCCGCGGGGTTTGTGAGCTGTGATTTGCTCTCCCCGCGCCCGCAGACAAAGCCTGGAACGGAGAAGCTGGCTGGGCCCACGACCAGCCGCCAGATACGGAGCACAAGGCCTTGTGCCAGGCAAAAGATCAGAGGCATCGAAATGCGACAGGGAGTTGAAGCTGGGCGACTGGTTGCGGTCCCCCATGCCACGCTCTGGTTAGTCCCCCGCTCAACCGTGGTCAAGGGTGGTGCCCATGTCTTTTCGGCACTGGTCTCTTACGCCAAAGGCACACTGCTTGTGTTGTGCGCAGCCCATGGAGGGAACAGCTGGTTTGGAGGAGGAGGGCCGGGCAAATGCTTGCTCTTTCGCTTGGCCCAGGTCTGGTCCTAGGCAGGTTTTGTGAAATGAATGTTTCGTGCAAGTGACCTGTTTTCCCCTACGGCAATGGTTCATATCATGCCGGCCCAAAGAAACAGTGCACAAGGGAGGCTAAGGGCAGCCGCAGGTCCAGACATATTTTTCCTTTTGTGCCCCCCCCCCCCTCCCCCTCCACCTCCCTCCCACCCCCCTGCCCCCCCCCCCCTCCTCCCACCCCTCTCTCCCTTCCCATCCTGGGCGCTGGGCCAAAGCCGCCAGGGAGCCCCGGCCCTTGAGCGCCAACGGCTTCACGCAGCGGACGCGCCACGTGCCGGCGCTGCAGACGGCTGAGAAGGTGCTGCGCACCGTCATCGAGCCGAAGGCGAGCGGAGGGGCTTTGGTTTTTTTGTCGGGTTGGGCCGGCGGCTTGGGGCAATGTTGGGTGGCATATCTAAAATATCTCTATATATGTGTGTGTATGTATGAATATATATATATATATATATATGTACGTTATATATGTATATGTATGTACATAGTTCGTTCAGTTGCTGTGCTTGGCTTGGTGTGACCTGGTTCAGGGTGGTTTGTGACAAGCAACAAGTTTGTTGGCCCATCAATGTTGTTAGGTTCGGGACAGCTTTAGCTTAGTTTGATCGCTTGACTTGATCGGATAGACTAGGAGGGAGGCCCAACCACACGGCGCATTCACAACACGTGTTTCTAAAGTCATTGAGTGTCAAGGTTGGTCGAGCCCAATTCAGAATTCATGTTAGTTGCATTCGTTTGGCATGATTCACACCACGATCAGGAAAAGGGGGGAAGGTCAGTGCCCTGCTGGCTGCATTTTGCCGGGTGATCAGATCGCCCAGAGGGATGGCGAGCAGGTTCTGGAAGGTCATCGGGCTATTGCTGGAAGATGTCCGCGTCGTCTGCGGATCGAGCGGCTGAAGAGGAAGTATGAGTCGCAAGACGCTTATACCAAGTTAGGCCCGCCTGGCTGTCTTGTTCCCCAGCCGCCAGTCACCCCCTCTCTGGGCAGACCAGTCGTGTGGTTGCTCGAGTAGTTCAGCGGATACTCTTGCTTGCGCGCAGGCAACAGTTGGCGATTGTTTGGCGTTCTTTTGCTGTTTGCAGAGGGTCATCCAGAGGCTTTTTTGAAGTGTTGATTTGGTATCGTTGAGGATATTTGCAAGCTGCTGGCGGAGAGAGGCGTCGACGTGACGCTGCCCTGGTATGAGGACAGCAGCCCTCTTCCTCTGGAAGCACCTTGGTCTCGTTTGCTAGTAGAGGGCCGTTTGTAATGCTGATTGGGGCGCTGCTCGATTTTGCAACCTTTGAGGAGTTGTGCAAGCATGCAATGCCCCTTTGACCAAGAGCCAGGCCAGAGAGCCAGCGCATGGGAAAAAATGGGTCTTTCTTGCCGTGTGCTTTGTGTGCTCCAGGCATTTGACAACAAGGACTACGACTTGCGAACTCCACACGAATGGATCGCTCTGGCCAAGCAGGACGTCCAAGGGCTGATTGACCCGGCTAGTACTTGTTTTTTTTCTCCTTCATGGGTGGGAAAGGAGATAGGTGCTTTGCCCTGGGGGTCTGCCCGCATTCTTGAGCAGAAGAGCGGCACCTATCAACAACCCCTTCCCTCCCTCCTTTCCTCGCTCACTGTGTCTCTCTCTGTGTCGCTCTCTGTCTCTCTCTCCCTGTGTCTCTCTGTCTCCCTCCCCTCCCCTCCCCTCCCTCCCTCCAAATCCTCCAACTCCGCCACCTTGGACGTTGTGGATGTGCGGACGTGAGGACGGGGTCTTCAAACCGCTGCCAGCCTTGGCTTTGTGGCGGGAGCCGGATGGCAAGGGCCACTGGCGCCGCGCACTCGTGATGCAGTATGACGAGGCCTCGGAGAAGTTTGAGGTTCAGTACGAGGACTTGGAAGCGTGCGACCAACCTCAACCTCAGAAGCGGTTGGGTCAGAAAGTGAAGAGGTCTTGCAAGTCCACATACAGCATACCGCTGGTGAAACAAGCCTTGGGACTGATTTTTCTTTTCTCACAGCCCTCACATGAGGCATAAGACTGACTTCATGAGACTAGGCCATTGGCCTTTCAGACTTCCGTTCTCGCGAGGAAACTGAGCCCACCGAGATCGGGGGGCGCCGGGGCGCCATGGAGTTCCTGCCGCGGCTCCGGGTGATGTTTCGGGGCGAGGATCCGGAGGCGCGGATCCGCGCGGTACCTGAGCCGCTGAAGCGGAAGGGCCGTTTTTTTTTTTTTTTTTGGGGGGGGCGGCGGGAATGGCAAGCCCTTTGGTGAATTGCAGGAGTTGCCAAAGGAGCCAATGGCGGGGTCAACAAGAAGACAGCACTTTTGTCATTTTGCGGTTCTCCTCTTTCCCCCTCAAGCAGCAATGGAGAGCAAATACTTAGCAAAGGCTGGTGGCCGTGCTACTGCTCGCAACTGCAAGCCCGACACGGCTGGATGCAGGTATCCTTGAATGATTGCTTCGCCCATAGCACGACGTCACAATTGACAGCACAGAGTTGCCAATGGTCTTGCTGCCCTGAAAAGGGGGTTCAAGAAATGTTCTTCCAGTTGGGGACAGTCTTTTGTGCGAGAACTTTGTTGTCTACTTCGGCCACGGTTTAGGGAATTTCAGCATGAAGTACATGCCACTGCAGGCCTTTGCGAATCGCGTGGAGGAAGCGTACAAGTCCCGACGGCAGGCAGACTCCATGCTGAGACTCTTGGCCAAGAGACCCAAGTTGAGTTGTTTGATGACCGAGTGGGGAGGAGGGTGCAGAGAGGTTGTCTCGGCCGAGGATACAACTTCTACATTGACAATATGCCAACAGAAGATGTTCAGCAGCTGAGCTCTGGCCAGATCGAGTGGCTGGAAAATGCGGTGTCCTGCCTTCAACTTATGGCTCAGCACCTCGCTTTCACCTTTTGTTTCAAGTTTTGGCCAGAGCCATGGTGACTGCACGTTGGGAAGTCTCGAGCTTTGCCCAAACCACCAAACAGCCTCCAAATGTAGACTAACGTAGATGTTTCGATTGGCCTCTCATAGTCAGGGAAAAATGTAGGGCCCCCGAAAAGTGAAGGATCCTTCCTGCATGCCAAGCTGGTCCCCGAAAGGGTCAGGGGCCGCACCCCTTTGCAGGTGAAGTCCGGGCGCAAGAGCGAAGATGTCTCAGAGCTGGAGTTCATCCTGCAGGAGGTTCAGCTTGACTTTGCCCGCGCCATGCACCTTGGCTGCAAGATCTGTGGCCTTTGCTGCCATGTTTTTTAAATCAGCCTTTGGCGAGAGTTGTCTTTTATTTCTGTGGGGTGCGTTCACTTACCCAGAGATCACCTCCTGGCAGTCATTGTGGGGTGCGTTAACCGAGAGATCAGCTCCTGGCATCCAGTGGGGGGTGATCTCTTACCCAGAGATCAGCTCCTGGCATCTGCTGACTGGTGTTTTGGCGTTTGTTCCTACGGATGTGCCGAAGGAACAAGGTGACCTTCGACACCAACATCTTGCAGGCGCGGGGAGCGCCGCGAAATGTCGCGCTGGCTTCCGCTCGATGGCCGGCCAGGGTGAGGACCCGCTGAACCAGCGGCTGCTGCCCTTCGCTGAGAAGGGCCCTGTGGGGGAGGCACGGCAAATATGATAGCAAAAGCAATGATGGAGTGGTTGGCATAAATATGGAATTTGAATGAGCCCTCCCCCTAACATGGCAGCTATGGGGAGGGATCTGAAAGATGAATCTCCTCTTGAAGGGACCCCCTACCAGGCGCCATGTTTGTGGGAGGGAGGGTGTCATCATTGGATCAATTCCCCACGCCCATCTCTCTCTCTCGATCCTTTTCCGGGGATCGGAACACCTTTCTGCTAGGTCCCCCAGTAGTGCCTTTTACCAACATTCCCCTACTAAAATAGACGACAGAAAAAGGGCACCCTTGTTCTAACCTCTCAAATCTGGAGGACCTAGCCTGGGTCCCAAGCCTCTCCGTCCAGGTG